TTACAACGCCAGCAGTCCACACCCCCCCACCAAGATTTATAGAAAGACGGCAGCTCCAATCACACTTTAAGCTGACAACACCGGCCTGAGGATGGCGAGTGAGACCTCGTCGAAATGTTGCATCGTTGTATACACACACACACACACACACACACACAACACACACACACACACACACACACATTGTATGTATGTATGTATGTATGTATGTATGTATGTATGTATGTATGTATGTATGTATGGCAAAACCTGTAACTGTTCATCACTTTCTGTTTAGGTAAAGACAACAGTAACTGCAAGAAAGTGTGATTCAGCTGCAAGAACTTCTAATACTATCGATTCCCCCAATAATTTTTCAACATCAAAACTTTAAAAAGTGGGAAGAAGAAAATCTATGCATATTTATTGCTTGAACTGCTTCTACAGGCAAAAGTTTTTTTTAAAAAAAAATCAGATAGACTATTCCAATCCATGGAGTCTCTATCAAACATTGTGTCAAGCCAGCCTCCCTCAGCAACCAAGAAGGAAACCACTCAACTCCATTTTGCAGAATTAAGAGTACTTTTACTGGTTATGAGTAGATAGCAGCTAAGTAAAGCAAGATCTGAGGCGAAAGCGCGCATAATCATAGATATTAATATGTGACCCAACTCCCTCCTCCTGGTAGGGAGGAGGGAGTTGGGTCACATATTAATATCCCATAGTCCAATCCGCACACCCCCTCAGGTGTCATGTGGGTTCCATCTTCAAAAAGCATCATCAGGTTGGTATGCCGGACAGTTGGCCTTGGCGGGCAAACCCACTATTTGCAGCATGCGCAGTAGATGGTGAGAATAAAACTCCCTTTTTTACAATCACTCCTGTACTTAAACTTCCCCTCCCAAATACCATGCCTCCCCCTCCCCGTTTCAATGACAGCCAAAAGCAAGTAGCAAAGCAGAGGCTGACACATTGTCTTAAAATATTTTATTTATCCTATCCTATCCTATCCTATCCTATCCTATCCTATCCTATCCTATCCTATCCTATCCTATCCTATCCTATCCTATCCTATCCTATTCATATAATAACTTGCCTTTGCAGTGTTGGTGGGAATATGGCATTTTCCTGGGTAGTTCCTTGATTAAGTTATTGTTTTCTGTTTGTCTGGTGTTAATCCCTGCTTATCGAGGTATTGGCTGCTAGACACTATGTGCTCTGATCTGTTTGTTTCCTTCTTAGCATTTTTATAGTATTTTTAAAATATTACCATATGGGAAGATAGTATGGTAAAGTAATTTGTCTGACATGTTCTCTGTCCTGTTAGTTAATTTTGTTCCCAAATATGGCAATACCATCCTATTTTATAAAGGCTTTTATTGTTATTATTATTTAGACTAAATAGATTATCCTAATTCTCAGTGCCTATTTGAAAGAAAGTTCATACATTCCTGAATATTGGTGATATAACAGGGGGGGAGAAGGAATTGTGTTCCAGTTTGGGGCAAACAAGTTCCAAGAAAGCTCTGAAGCAGCTGTGGGGTGAAGATGTCATCCAGGAACAAGACAGAATGTGTCTTGTCACTGATTCATTTCTATTAAGTAATTATTATGACTGCCTGGTAGTCTCACAAGATGAGTTAGTGTTACTGACAAGTTAAGAATTGGAAAATATGGTATTAAGAATGTGTGATGGGTAGGAATTGGATATGTATATGTATGGTTAGTAATTATATAAAAGAATGGACCAATGGACAGGTAATCTGACGGACTATTTTCATTTCATTTATTCCATTTGTATGCCGCTCTATCCCGAGGGACTACACATACCTATGTAATGGATATAAAATGTAATTGTTGTAAGATCCAATCACTATATGGAAATGTTTATGCCAGAAATGTCGCACTATGTACAATGTTTTTATTGTTTATTTAATACTTTTTTTTAAAAAAAAAGATGAGTTAGTGTTAGAGAGAGGGGGTGGGAGAGAGAGAGAATGAATGAATGAATGAATGTGGGAAAGAAGAGTTATTCAGTATTTTTATTTTCTTTAATGGTTTTTTGTAAAAAAAAAAGTTAGCATCTTGTACTAAAAAGGAAGACAAAAAAGTCCTTCTCTTCCAACTACTTGATGTCTTCTAAGAAGAATTTGTGGACAGGCTGTGTATGACCTGTCAGTGTACTATCAATTAGAAGCTGTCATAATTATTTTGTCATCCTGGCATGGACTGTGGGAAGCCCCCATATTAGGAGGACTGCAGGATACCCTCTCTTTCAATAGAACCAGAGTTGTGTTATTCAGTAATCTTGTATGAATTTCCGTGGAGGTAAGATTCTCTGAATAGAATAGGCCTTACTTTCAAATACAGTAAATATTTAAAGATTGTGTTCTTTTCCTCTGGATTATTTCTCATGGCTGAGCTACTGGTTAAGTTCAAAAGTTTTCCTTGATGTTTAGCTTGTTTCTTCCTTCCTATGTTACTTGTTTGATTCATTCATTGTTCAAAGATGCCCTGCCTTGCTGTCTTCCTGAAATGTATTTGTAAATAATCTTTTAGTACTACCTGTTCCTTGTCTGAGACTTCTTCTTTTTTCAAGATACACATTTCTTAAGTTCAGAGGATAAATGAAGAAAGATATATGTGAGAAATTCCTTTTTACCAGAGACAGAAATGTGGATACCCTGCAGGGAAAACAGGCAAATAAAAAGTTTCATTTGACTTCGGCACAGAAGAATTATTGGGTGAAATCCTTTTGCTTCATTACACATAGGCAGATAAAATAAACCAAATATAGATAGTCCAAGAATAACTGGTTTGTTCATTGTGGCCAAACAAACCAGGATTGTATATTATATTCCATGGGGTTGGTTAGCTCCCTAAAGCCGCTCCTCCACTTTTTAATTAACTTTAATATTTAATTTTAATTATATTTTCCTCTTACTTAAATTTTATATACAATTTTAATGACTTTAATATTTTATATGCACATTGATCAGAGTCCTTTTATGAGTGAGATGGACAGTTTCTAGATGCAATAAAGCCAACCAGCTGGTTTTGGGGTTTCTGGCACTCCAGCACACACGTTCCAGTTTGGTGCCGAAAAGGTTTGCCATCACTGTCATAGGTGAGAATGAGTACCTCACTACGCTTCGGATGCTTCTGGAATTAAACAAAATAATTGAATAAATGGGGCTGTCCAGTGGCTTCTGTTCTTTGCAATTGTGGTGACATGCAGACAACACCACCATACAAATACTTGCCCTTTATGTCCCCATCAGGGTATACTTGAGGATTGCATAGTAGCATGACAGAATGCAATTAATGTTGCTAGTTTCTGGGCAAGATCTGTTTAATTTGTAAATAGTTTAATCTTGTATCTTATATTTTAAATTTTATGTCACATAGTATGCCTTGTTTTAATTGTATTTAGGTATTTTAGGTATTTATTAGACATTTATAGGCCGCCCTTTTCCCTGAGGGGACTCAAGGCGGCTTACAATCAAAAGGAAAGGGAGTGTAGGACAATACAAAAAGAGATGTGCACAAAAATAAATTAAACAGTAAAACTCAACATTCACTCGGCATTCGGGAGGGGCAAAAGTAAACTTATCCCCAGGCCTGGCGGGCTAGCCAGTTCTTGAGGGCTGTGCGGAAGGCCTGGACGGTGGTGAGGGTACGAATCTCCATTGTGATGCTTTTGACCCAAATAGGCAAACTGATGTCATGATAAGCTGCTTCTTTCTTTCTCATTCCAGTAACTAGGAAAAATACAGTGGAATCTATTGTGGTTTAATAAAACAGGATTTCTCAGCTGGAGAGCTACCTTCGGTTTCAGATGGGGTGACCCATGGAAACCATGTTTAACACAGCGATGGGCAATCTATAAACCTCTGGTCTACATGCAGTTTCTGAACTCCAAAAATCAACCCCCCCTACCTTTTCCTGCCATTCTGAGGCAGGAAATTTATAGAAACTGCCATGTAGGCCTTAATTCAAGGTCAGCCTTAGTTCAAATAAAACAACAAAGAAAGATAAATAACTCACCCTTCCTAGCCCTCAAGAATCTGAAAGGTGGGGGGGGGGGACAAAAGTTTCGAACTTGCTCACATTGCAAAATATAACCTTGCCTGCTTTGTATCATTGTGAGGAGAGTCCTCAGCCATGGTTTTCTTTTTTAAAAAAATGTCAAAATGGTAGCCACACCTGCCAATTTTTTTGGAAGCTCCAACTAATTTTTGTATGTGCATCATGTGCAAACTACTTTTTTTATGTGCATAAAATGGATGGAACTTTGTCCTGGTCTCTATTTTGACTTTTTTGACCAAAACCTTCAGAAAATCCTACAAGTATGGCCACATGCTATAACAGAAATATTAAAATGGGAGAGGGAGAATCAAATTAACAGAATGAAACCTTTCATACAAGCAATTTTATCCTAAATTTTGAGCAATACAGTCTGACCACCACCAGGAGGCAGAAATAAACAATACAATGCAATTGTATTATATCCATATAGATTTGTCCAGAAAAATTCAACTTTAACAGAACATACTGAAATGCATTCTGGAGTATATAGGACAATTCTACAAGATTCTACCCAAATTTTGTGGCTTCTTCCCAACTCCGATTTATGGCTATTGTAGCATTGGGCACATAGAGCAATGGACAAAGCAGATTTCCAAGACTGACACATTTTTGCCCCATCAAAAATCTGTAGCAATGGAAATTCAGAGGCTGGCAATGTTACCTTACTATCTTCCCTTTGCACAGGAAAATTAGAATACTCATATGAGGATAAGACATGTTTAATTTTCATGCTATAACTAACTTTAATAATAATTGGGTGGGAGAGGCAGCTAATCTTTTTTATCCAACCTGACCTGTCATCTCTGATCCACACTGAGGAAACTCTGATGAAGCAGCTGGTGACCTGCTATGGAGGGAGTGCATGAGCCTCTTCGGTGCCCGGGTCCAAATTAGCAGATGGCAGCAACAGTGGGGACTTTCCTAGCGGTCTGATGGACGAGAGAAAAATAGCTGGACGCAAAGTGAAGAAACCAGGTAAACAGGGCTGTAAACTAACTAAAATAGATTTGAAAGCCAAACAAGAGATAACAAGAAATGCAGAATGTGGAAAAAACTGAGGTACCAATATCTGGAAGAGCTGGTTTCAAGGCTGAGAAAAAGCCATCTGTGCTCTTAGAGAAGAATTGGAAATGTAGTGGTGCATGGCAACTGATCAAGGAAAAATCTCATCTGAAATTAAAGCTCTCCCGAGCAGAGAAGAGCAAAGTAACACTCAGCAGAATGTAGGCAAGATGGCTAAAGCCATAGAGAGTTATGCCAACAGTTCCTGCTAAAAGTCAGACCAAGCAGACTGAAACCCATATTTCAACTCCCCCCAAACCCAAGATGATATTAAAAAAAAAAAAAAAGTAATGCATGGACATAATATGAAGTTGCCAATTCTTGGTCATATCAACAGATCAATAACATCAACTATTCAGCTGTAGTGCAACCGGAGTTTGAGCTGACTTTCAAAGTTTTCAAGAAACTCTTGCAATCTTTTAATTTCTATCTCAGCAGAGTTTGGATCCACTAAAGACAGGTGGAGGGTTTTTAGAAATCTTCAACCTGCCAAATGATTTAATATTTAATAGATATTCTCCCAAAAGCTTAACTTGTAATCATTATAAATAATAAAAACCAGGTGCTTCTTTCTACCCGTTCCTTCCCAGATTGAACAGCTGCTTTATTTTCAACAGAAGCAGCTGCAGGCATGTAGACGTTTTGTTTGCTCCATAAGGGATATATATTGCCAAAAACCGTGATATCTGATAAAGAGATTTCATCACTACCCATTTCATCACTACCCATTTAGAAGGAGAAATTTGATAAGTGGGCTCCGGGTAGGACTAAGAATTATCCAAATACAAGCAGTTGAGAATGAACACCAGAGAAGTAGATTTTGTCTAATGCTGATGCTCCTATTTATAATCGACTTCCGGATGCGCTTCAAGGTGCTGTTAATCACCCATAAAGCCCTACATGGTAGT